GAGAGAGAGAGAGAGAGAGAGATAAGGTAATTTTATCAACGATAATATAAAATAAACAAAAGTTATGCATCCCCCGCGAAGATAATCAGAAGCGAGAAGATGAGGCGCGAAATTCGATATATATTTCACGCGAAGTTAAATAATATTGTACCTCTTTTGTATGTAACGATAATATCGTGTTGTAATATCCCGAATCCAATATCGATGAATATTTTTCTAGAATTTTATGAAATATATCACACGAGCTCGCGTATATAAATATTTCGATCATAACCTTTCGCGATATCGCGTTTCATCGAGCTCGTTAAACACGTATCACTTTTCCGAAAAATAACGAAAGAAAGATCGATGCGAACGATTTAGAGGAAACTCGAGGAGCAGCTTGAGACCGAATATTATTGCGATCCGAAACTTTAGTCTCTCAAAAAAAAAGAAAAAAAAAAAAAAAAAAACAACGGTGATAGATGAGGATTTTCCTCTCCGATTTCGAACGATTCACTCACCGAATCTTGCGCTCGCGTCTTCGAGAGATCAAAGAGTACTACTGCGGCAGACAGTTAACCCGAGTCTAGTCGGCTTAACATATATATATATATACATGTACTTCAAAATCAAGGATGAAGTTGGTCGACAAGTGTACGCGAACCGTTCGACGAATCTGTTACAAGGGAAGGAAGCAGAATTCAAACTCCGTTTGATGTCTGCGCCTGAGGTCGAATCGCCTCGCTTTAACTATTAATGAGGCTGGAACAGACGAGCCAGTTAATCGACTGCGGGAATTTTCTAATCAAACACAACACCGTGGACAAGGAAGGAGGAAATTGGCCGTTAACGTAACCAAACACCGATCCCGACACGATCTCGTCCGTCCGCGTTTTCTTTCTTATTTTCTATCTCGATCATGGACGAGGTGAAAGAAAGAAAAAGAAAAGAAAAGAAAAGAAGGAAGGAAAAGGAAGGAAGGAAAGGAACGGCGGCAACTTTTAAATTTCCTTTAAGCCGAAAGTTTAAATTAATTCTCGCCACGATTCCCCGGTTTGTTTCTTCCGTACAATTTTTTTCGAACGCAAGCTGTGTTATTTCTGGCGTGTTAATTGCCTAATTAAGATCGGGTTCCATCGAGTTAGCGGAAGGGGGAGGGCAACAAAGAAAGGGAGATAAATGAGGGGACAGTGGATGGAGAAGATAAGGTAATGCCGTTGGCAGAAAAGCAAAAGTTCTTTGAGCCGGGAGAAGCCAGAGAGTGGAGCAGCAAGTGGTCGTATTCTCAGGGTTGGTTTGGAGGCAACTTTCGAAGAGAGAACCTCCAAACTTCTTCGATCCCCTCCCCTCCCTCGAAACTCCACGCGTACATAGGAGTTATTCGAGTGTCCTCCGGGGTCAGCCTGTTACCCGCCTCTTTGACGCGACACCATTTTCCCGTGTGCAATTTTCCACGCGTGTTTGTATAATAAACGATAACGATATTTATCCGGTCCTCTCCGTGAAAATTCTTTCTTCCCTTTTTTTTTTTTCCATCTTTCCATCACGATGAAATTTTCTCCATTTCGTTCCGAGTACTCGATTAATTATGAAACGTAATTGTAAAACGTAGATATCGCTCGAGAACGAACGATACCTGGTGAAAATTGACACGATATAATAGAGAAATATGGCAAAGACGAGGAGCGTAACGCGGTTCCCTAAGATTCTAATTAAGATCGAGTGATCGTTAGCAACGATCCATCAAGGGTGCAAGGTCGAGTTAGAGTTAGAGAGAGAATTTAATTAAACGGTACAATGGGTTAGCTGGATACGAAATCGAATTACTATTAGATTTTTCACGCGATATCGCGATAGAGATGGAATATTATCGGACTGGAAGGCAGGGCGGGGGAAAGGATCTTGCGGAGCTCTCTCTGCTCCGCTTCTGGCATATCCGATCAATTTTCGACGTTAAATAGTCGCCAGGCATCGACGTCGGATTTCCAGAGCGTCGCGAGCGGTGCAATCACCTCGACACTCGAGTACTCTGCGGAGAGAGAGAGAGAGAGAGAGAGAGAGAAGTGTCTCTTCCGGAATCAAATTGTCGAGAATAGGCCCGAACCTCTTGACGATCTTACGCCACGAGTTCTCGAGCCACGATCATCATCGAACTTTCCACTCTCGCGAAACTTCGACCCTTCCACGAGTCCTCCTTTCGTCAACCCCTCCCCATCCCCCTCTTCGCTCGATTCCTATATATATATATATCTAGACGATCATCCAACCAACCAACGACGCGATGAGGACGCTCTCTCAGCCGTCACCGCCGTTCCAACTTTCTTTCCGCAGAATTGAATCGTCACCGAATCGGTTTTCAGCCAGGGAAAATTGCGGGCGAAACATCGGAAATTTCGAGATCTGTTCCCTTCCCCCCACAGCTTTTCGTTCATCCATCGAGAGAACGTCTTTCGGGATGGTGGGTGGTGCGACGGGATCAGGATTTTGGACGCTTGGTATCGTTGGCCTCGAAATAAACAAGATTCGAAGTCATCGCGCCTGTATTCTATGAATTTTTGACCAAATATCGAATTACGATATCCTATCCGTATTATGAAAATGTTATTTTTCCGAACGACGATGATGTGATATAATATCTAAATACGTTTTATTCCGTTATTTATTCCGATATTCCAATTTAATACGTAGATTTATGTAAAACGGGACGTTTCTCAGACATGGTAGACGTCGATTATCATCTTCGAGGAAACGGTCTCAATGTCAAATCTTTTTTCCTTTTTTTCGCAACAATTATTCATTTTCTGTTGCTCTCCGAGCTTCTCGAGCTTTTTCCCCTGACGCGTTCATCGGGCTTTGAAAAAATTGATAGAACGAACCGATTAATAAATAAGGGCAATAATTAGAGCGTGTATTCGCGATGATTAATGGACCGAACGTGACGTAAGAAAGATTGAATGTTTCTGTACGCGTATATAGAACAAGTGGAAGATATATTTTAGCTCGATTAAAAGAATATTTTTAGACGTTTCTTTCAATTAACGATGCATATGTATATGCATGAAATATATTTTAAAATAAGAGTAAAGATAGATTTTTAAGGTCGTCGGCAACGCAGCTAAATTCTCGTGATTTTCGCCGCGCGAGAATTTTTGAGAACGTTCTTTTCCCCGAAATTCCACGAAACAGCTGAATTTCATTGGTCGTTGCTTACCGAAGCATCCGATTCTTTTTCACAGAGGAAACAGATCCACGATTTTCTTTTCCTCGACGATCTTTTCCCCTTCTCTCTCTCTCTCTCTCTCTCTCTTCTTTTTTTTACTTTACGATGCGCGATCTCCGGAACCTTTGAACAATCCTATACCGACTTCGTCGCGATTTTTGCCAAGATTTATTTTAAGGCAGGTGCTCGTTTCGAAAGCTTACGACAATTTTATCCCCTCGAGAGCTTTTCTCGTTTTGCCAATTCACCGTATCGCTTGGTCATTTATAAATCCGCGTGTAT